CAGTCTTTCCTGAAAAAAATAAAACATACAAAATAATAAAATAATCCACTGCAAACCAAACAACAGCACTTCTGTCAAAATCTTCACACAGCAAACCATGCAAAATATAATTGTCAAACAAACATACCTTTCAGTAGACTTACATGACATGACTTAATAAGTATTTAAGTTTTGTGCAGCCTTCATGGCATCAAAAAATTCATCAAATTTGTAATATGGGTTCAACTCAAGCCAATTTTTCACAATGGATACAAATTTTGATCTCCTCTGGGAACGGACAATACCAGGGAGGGCATTGAAAAACCTAATACCTGTAACAGGAAAACAGTTTTGTGATTTACTTAATCTGGTACTACTCATATGTACATTTGAACGATTTCTGGTCATGTAAGAGTGAACGTCCTTATTATATACAAGATCAGCCTCCATATCTTTCATTGCTATCAAACATTGATATATGTACACATTGACCACAGTCATGATCCGAAGTTCGCTAAATACAGGTTTATGGTGCTCTATAAAATGAGTCTGACACATGACTCGAATCGCTCTTTTCTGAAGTAACAACACTTTCTTAGCATGTGGGGAGTGACCCCAGAGCCGCGTACCGTAGACAACGTGTGCCTGAAAGAAAGAGAAAAAAGCCAGCCTCAAGAAATGAAATGGCAATTCATGAGATAGGTTTCTTAAAAGGAAAATCACTCGATTGAGCTTAGCACAGAGGGCGTCAATGTGGTCACTCCACACAAGCTCAGAATCCAGGGTGAAACCCAGAAGCTTTACAGGATCACTGCTGGTAACATTTTTGTTAAGACTAAACATGATTTCCTGAGTCTTATCTTTGTTTAAGGCTAATCTATTTCCAGCAAACCATTCAGATGCTGCATTAACCAATGTGTTTACACAATTTCTAGCTGTGATAGGGTCAGTGTTCTTAGAGAACAGAGTTGTATCGTCTGCATACAGCAACACATCATTAGAGACATTGTGATAAAGGTCATTCATTGTAACTATAAATAAGAAAGGCCCAAGCACCGAGCCCTGTGGGACCCCATGCTGAACTGCCAGATCTTTTGAGTTCACACCTGCCCAAGACACTACTTGAGTCCTATTATTAAGATAGGACTCGATCATTCCAAGCGCACGGGGACCAACCCCATACTTAGGAAGCTTCTGTAGCAATAAGTCATGTGAAACACAATCGAAAGCCCGTGATAAATCACACAGGACAACGGAAGTTGAACATTTTTCCTCAAATGCCTCCAGGATGACCTGCAGAAGGGAGCCCACTGCCGAGACAGTAGATTTGCCCCTCCGAAAACCATGCTGGGCGGGGACCAGGAGCCCGTGCGCTTCAAAATGATCACAGAGCTGACTTAACATGACAGCTTCAAAAATCTTACCAAACACAGGTATCAAGGACACTGGCCTATAGCTAGATAAAACATTTTTGGGACCCTTTTTGTACACAGGTACAGTTCTGGCTGTCTTTAATACATTAGGGAAAATGCCCTGCAAAAGGCAGCAGTTAAACAAGTGGACCAGCAAAGGAGCAAGTATCTTAACAACCCTTTTGATTAGTGAAGTCGACATATCAAAGATGTCCTTACTGTCAGAGGACTTAAAATTATTTACAATATTTACAACATCGGATACATTTATGGTTTTCCATTCAAAACTAGCACTAACCAATGGAATTGAATCACTAAAATTGTAAACATCAGTATTACATGGTATACCGCCAATAATATCATCTACTGACTCAACAAAAAAGTGGTTGAAGTCATCGGCAGTAGCAAAATCAAGCTTGGCAGCTGCTCCCCCTTTGGGCCTACTCTTGCCAATCAGCTTCCATGCCGCCTTGCAGGGATTGGCAGAACTAGCGATGTGGGCTGCAGCGGCTGATTGTTTTGCTTCACGGAGACGGACACGATACTCTCTTCTTAATTCACGAAGGTATGGGAGAACACCCGGTTCACATTTTGAAATGTCATGAACCAGGAGTATATGGCTCTTAAAATCTGCAAGTTCGCTCGTGTACCAGTTTTTGATCCTATTGTTTGATCCCCGAGTATCACGACAAGCCGAATCTACAGTATTTTGTTTAAGTGGAAAATGTAGATCAAATTCTCTCTTAAATTTTGAGAAAAACTCATCAAAAGCTTCATTTGCTGGGAGAACACACAATTCATTAAACCATTGGGCTGTCTGGTTCGCAATATCGTCACAGAAAGATTTGATACGGTTTTCATCTTTCAAGCCTAACCTAAAGAACACCGTTTTGGGTATAAAATCACTCGTGTCTTTTGGTGGTATACACAAATCTAATTTAAGGAATATATGTTTGTGATCAGCAATTTGATCGTCACTAACCACAACTTGATAATTCCATGAGTCCAGATTGGTGATGAATGAGTCAAGGGATGCATTATTTCTAGTCGGGCTAAGTACGCTACTATAAAACCCAAAACTCCGAAGCAAGTTTAGGAAATCAACTGATTCTCTATTTGACTTTAGCAGATCAATATTGTGGTCAGTACCAATAACCACTACCAGGCCAAAAGAAATCAAGAAAGTTAAGCAAAGTTCTAATAATGCAAAAAAACGTTCTACCTGGCCATTCGGGGAGCGATACATGGCAACTACTATTAAGTTAAACTCGTGCAAAAGTACAGCAGAAAACTCACCTTCCAGTTCTTCACAGAAGTCACTTAGATCTATAGCTTCAAAACTTACGCCAGAGTTTACAAATATAGCTGTCCCACCACTAGGATTTGCCCTGCAGAAGTAAGAGGCAAGCTCAAGATCGCTGACCTTATCGTAGTATCCAACTTCTTCTGGAACTAGCCAATGTTCGGATACACACAAGACATCCAAGTTATTCTGATCACATAAAACATCAAGCTCAGCTACTTTATTACGCAGACACTGCACATTAATGGAGCAAAGATTCAAATGTGAGCGCGACAATGTTTCGAGTCTCAATAGTGAGTCTGAGTCTGACTCACGAGTGGCTTCGCTAAAAAAGTCTGTGACCTTACAAAGGTTGTTTTGCGGGACTGCACCACGAATTCCCTAATCAGGGTCCCAGCCGGCCAGAAGGCGTCACTCAACACTTTTGTTTTGTCTTTGGGCTTAACACCTAACTTGAAAGACTTGTACGAGTCGTGCTTGGGCCTTAACTCAGTGCACTCAGCTTCAACATCGGCGTTCTTCATATAGCTACATACATCTTCCGCACTAACATCTGTTTGAAGCCTTGACACGAACAACCAGTCCTTCCTCTCAACTGCGCGTAATAGGCTTAACTTCACAGTCAGCACCTGACCCTGGACAATCTCAGCTATTAGGTTACAAATGCGCCCCAACACTACCCCAAAACGACTTTTCGTTCTCAATTGGCCCTCTATTAATGACCTGTGTTGCCCGTACAGCGAGGTATTTTGAGAAGGGGAAAACCCTCCGGAATGCTTTAGGTTTATCAATAACGAAGTTAAACATGGTCTGTTACACACCAGTAATCTTTGAGTTGACTCTTTTAATCTCATTTTAAATAAGACTGTTATTCGTTTTGAAATAACTCCTGTAATACTTTGCAATTGCTCGAATTCGAGCAACATGTGCACTAGTTTATTTTATTTTCTAATACCTATAATTTGTTTATAGACCCGTAGCAGCAGACCTGTATACTCAACGAATTACAAATGCTTCAATAAATAATTAAAATGGAGCCACACATCATCATTTCTCAAAGTATGTTCATGAACAAGCATGCAAAAAATTGTCCATAAGAATAACATTGGAAGTTAGTATGCAGGTTTGCTGCCACGGAAATGTAAAAATGGGGGATTTTAGGCCATAATCAAGTAGATCTCTATTAAATGAAGCCACATACCAATTATTATTAAGATATGCTGAGTAATAAGCTAGATATACAATTTTATTTTTTCCCCATAAGGATAACATGGGGACAATGTTCTGTGTTTTCCGCCTTCAATATCTCGGTAACCAATGGTCATAGAGCAATGATTCAAAACACCAAATTGTTTGATTTTTTGAGCTGAATTCAATGGTGTAAATTAAAATTCGATTATTTTACTCTGAAAAGAGTTATTATTAATTTAATGAATAGATGTCACACATGGCGGCCATCTTGGATTTACGACGTCATAAAAACCAAACCCCGCAATTTGAGGGTAAACACCCGGTACTACACCATTATGTGACATATAATAAAGAGATTCCACATAGTCACACATTTGCTTCACAAAAAATCCCACGGAAGCTGGATATGTGCAGTTTGCTCCTGAACTATTATAGGTACAGTACCCTTTTTCCATGGACAGTTCGGCTTCGGCCTATATCCAAACGTCCGGGTTTAGCAGGACTCTTGGTGTATTTTTTTTTAGATTACCTCAACCTTCAAAAATACGTAAGTGGTATGTTCAATTATGGTGTTGTAAACAAAAAGGCTGTCGTGTTTAATAACGTACATAAATGTATGAAAAGTTAAAGGGGGTTCTCCAAGAAAAATCAATTTGCTAAATGCTGTAGGGTAAAATATTTGTAGTAATTATAACGTTTTGTTTGGTCATGTTGTCGTTTTTCAACATTATATCTAAAGGAAATAATAAATTGACGAATCTGTAAATGAGAATCCGCTAATTCCACGCATGGCTGGTGAATATTAACATTACCTACAAACAAGGACTTTAAAATCGAGGAATTTCAAACTTTCTTAAAATACTTGAACTACAACACTAATCTCTTAAGCCGATTATTGATCTTGAGAGCCAATTAGGATAATTTTTGTTCAATTTGGAAACTGAAAACAGGATGTACCACTAATAACTGGTTGTAATCTGAATATGCAAATGTAAGGAAAACTGGACTTTATAAACGTAAAGCAGAAGACCTGCCAGATCAAGTAGGGTATTTGTCCTCGTTTCAGTAAATGTTTCAGTGACAGTGAACTGGTTTTCCCGTGAGTTTTGTCCTACTAATGTGTACAGACGGAATCCCCTATTGGCCTTAGCCCGTTATCGTCGACGTCATCGGTCAATCTCCAATCAGCTGTTTGTTTCTTGCTCAGTGTCCCGCGAAACTTAGTCCAATGCACTCTGGTTCTGAGTAGTTTGAAGTGAGTTTGGGTGAAGCAAAGAAGCCTTTCCTGTCCTGTTTTGTGAGAAGCGTTCACTCTTCAATTTTTGATAATGGTGAGTTCGTTTATTTATAGGTCTACTGTAAATATTTAGATTTTTAAAGTTTTGTGTCCAATGAATATCAACGAATTGTGACTATATAGGGCTCATTAATTATCAATGGTCACAAATAGATAATGGGAATCAAAGTTCATGTTTGAAAAAGTGTACCTACATTTTTTGTGTTAGAACTGTAGTTTGTAAATTATTTGTATAGCATTTTATTATTTTTTACTACTTGAATATATTATCCAAATAGAGAAACAACAATCATGATTGTTTACGGTTTTCACTTTTACCTTTGACTATTCAATAAGTTAATGCTTTTACTATAGGTAATTAGTTTTTAGTTTCCATTCATTTCTTAATGTTCCTATGTAAATTACATGTAATACAAAATTTCATAAATACGTTCCATATATGTGTGCATGTCTTGAATGTATACACTCAGTTCAGTAATACAAATTAGTCAATTTTCTGAAATAAATTCTAAAAAATACACAACTTAAATAAAATTACAGGAAATATGCATCAGAAGTATGATGTCCCATGCTCTACATTTCCAATTATAATAACTAGGCCTACTAAAATAACTTTCTCTTATTTTAGAGGAAAGTCCATCCAAAAACAACAAAACAATGTTAAGCTCTTACCGATACAATAACAAGTTGATTTTAGATGACCTACAGTAGTACAAACAAAGTATTATCTAACTAGAGTAGCCTACTAGTACCGGTACACAGTGTGTCCCACGAAGTAGTTTAAAAGTTTGATTTTGCCTAACTTTCCCATTTTTATTCAGTAAATTTGGAAACTTTTTACAATTTATAAAGTAGGCCTAGGTATTGAAAATATTTTGTTAACATTTGTAGAAAATGAAATTGTGGTATATTGAAATTTTGATGATATCCTATGAAAATTACTTTATTAATTTATTAGCTACGTACATGTTTACTGCGTAAGGGAAAATATTTAAAAATACTTTACAACAACTAACAACAAAAATTTCACTTGGTTATATTGTTGGATTACTATGCATTAACTCCTGAGAACAGAAAATCTAACTATTTCGAGTACCTATACAAATGAACTAAACTGTTTTTACTTTTAACATCATAGGTCTAGTGGACACATTTTTGAAACTTCTGGGGAAAAACTGGTTAAGTTTACATAATCTCTAACTACACAATTATAACAACCCAGTTGAGTTTAATCAATCCTTTTTCTTGTTGGATATGGCAACCTCTTTATTTGCAAACACTTTACTCACTTGCACCTATACTGGCTTATTTAAAAAATATTACTATACTGTCCTATTAGTTTGGTATTGTAAACCGTGGTACATATGTAATGTAAAAATCAAACCAGTTTAGGAAAACAACAATACAGTCAAAATAGGTAGGTACTTATTCTAATAAGAATTCTTATGTTTGATTACACGATTATTGTTCATAAGTGAAACATGTTATTTGTGTTTCTACCTCATTCGCTTCAAAACAAAACAGAGTAATTGAAAGAAGAGCTGGAGGTTGATCTTGGGTGGTTCTAAAAAACTGGTTCTTCAGGCAATTAACATAAACAATCTGGACATCTTAATTATCTCCGAAGTAGATAATTAAATTATAATGAAGATTGTATGCTGGTAACTAACCTTGAACTCAGACTGAACACGGGGAATGTAGTATGTCTGAGTATGTTTGATTATTTTACATAAACAGCTGTAACCAGTTATTTACTTTAAGAGTGCAAAGTTGAACAAGCCACATCTGATACAACTGGAATGCTATTTTATCTTTAAAAGCTAGACCGCTGAGATAGCAACCTCCTCTAGCATTGGTTAGCATTAGCGCGCAGGTCGCTTTCTAAGCAGCTGAACTATAGTTTCTTATACTATGAGAATTTATGGGAACATTAAAGATTCCCTTTTGCAACATGACAATAGACAATGGACAATATTATTTAATTATTCATCCATACATAACAAGTACAATACATAGTACAATCTTACTAATATTATAAATCTGAAAGTTTGTGAGTTTGTGCGTTTGTGTGTGTGTGTGTGTGTGTTGCTCAATAACGCATAAACTACTGGACGGATTGGGCTGAAATTTGGTTGCATGTTTTAACAAGAATCCTAGAGAACATCACTGGGTAACAGTTAATTAAAAATTTTGATATTTAAGAGGGAACTTTCAATACAGGTATAACATTTTATGGAAAAAACAAAGAACAGAAGGAGAACTTTGTTATATTGATTCGGTGAGAAAGTATAGTCTGTCAGCTAGCACTAGTTAGGATATAGTGGTGGTAGTGGTCGTTTGGCTATTGTTGCAGGTAGTCCACTATCTCCTGTTGTTGGTGGTGTGCCAGTTGTGTGTTGGATTTGAACCTCACCCCCACTACGGCCCTCCGCCTCCTCCCCCTCATCATCACTATGGTCATCACCACCGCCCGCCACCCCCGCCTTCAGGGGTATTCAACACTGGCAAGCAACCCATTGTGTTTGAGGAAAGCGGAGAAAGTCCATCCTACAGACCACGACCCGGTAAATTCATACAACTTTGAATTGTACTACGTATGATGAATTGTCTCATTTATTTTCAGGGGATTAGGTGCAGTAACGTTAATGCAATGCTTCTTTTTTCAAAATATTATATAGGTAGACCTACTATAAAAAGGAGATTCTAAACAAAAGTACGGGAGAAGAAAGGTATAATTATGATGTCTGTAAAATAGTTTAAATATCTAACTCATTTGTCAAATTTAAATTGTAGCTCACTCCGAAGCACAAGCTTGGAGTATTCTTGAATCCTTCCAATATTTATAACATCATAGTTTTGGCTACACACACAGTGCCAAAAACAAAAATTTTGAGTGAAAAAAAAAAAAAAAACACCAAACCCCTTGAGTAACTTTTAAGAGTAAGATTGGAGGACCAACATCAGTATTTCATACCTCAATAAATGGCCAAAGTGCAAGGGAAGCTCTGCACACTAGATGACCAAACAACATACTAATAAAATTAGGGTTTGATTTTTGTACATAACGAACAAATAGTCCTTTGTCAAATATCAAGAAAGCAACATTTAAACTTTAGCCTATCTTACATAAAAAATAATGGTTTTTCTTTTTCGAGTTCGTTTAGCTCTTCTACCTGACCGATTTTCCTGATTGAGGTATCAAATTGAAGGTATGCACACAGATTTCATATCAAGCACCAGCATTTATCTACTATATTACTCGATCAAAAAACATAAATTTGATTTATTTTCAAATTCTTACTTCAATTAAAAATGTATTTCACCAGTTATAATTGTATATAATCCAATATATTTTGGTCTAAGAACTTCAGTAAAATACCGGCTTTCATTGAAGATATTAGTTATTCAAATCAGACGAGTTTTAAGTAAACACAAAGTGAACAACCAACATAAAAGTGATTTTTAAAGGTTTTTCTATGATTAAAATCAATAGCTCCAGTAATGTTTATGTTTTTTTTATATGTTTTAGATTAAAAATAATCAGTAGAAATTGCAGGCTTTAATTTGAGCTATTGATTGTTTGAATTAGTTAAGTTCAAGATACTGTATTACTCAATCAAACATCATAAATTTGATTATTTCTCGGATATGAAATTTATTTCTACGCTGTGGAGCATGGGTCCTCTAGTAGAGTGTTAAAACATTTGCAGCACATCTTGTTTTACTTAAGAAGCTCATTGTCATAGTAAAACTTATGCTTCTATCAAAGTTTTTATTTTTTATCGTTTGAATGTAAATAGAGTAATTCACAAAGCTATCCTAATTGATTCCACAAATAAAAAAAATGATTTACAACGACATAATGCGCTCTTTAGACCTTATAAAAGTTGCAGTAGGTTTGATTCATTAAGAGCATTTAGGAATTGTGTGTGGTAATTACAATGTCTGGGTAGCTTAGTGGTGTTTTAGTGGTTAAATTCCAAGGTAGGTAGATCTTTTACCCAAATGCCATTTGTCATTGGGCTATCAATTCACACTCTCTGACAAAAGGTAGATATGCGATTCAATTCAAAACATCTTGATTCAATCATATACAATTTCAAGTACCTATACATAATTAGTGTCGATGGTGTAGTTACATTAAGACCAATTCCTTACATGAAACGGAAAAAGTTTATAAATTGGTTTAAATACCTGCTTCTAGTATTCCAATTGTTGCAATTTTAAGAAGAGATTCAAAGAACATCTTCCAAGAAAAACAACGTCCGCTCAAACCTCAACCTTTGCCGAACACTTAGTTTCTGATAATCATAATTACACAAATATTGACAGCAACATGACCGTATTGCATTTATCTAACGACCATTTCAACAAAAATACACTGGAAGAATTTGAAATATACAGAGCAGTAAAATTCGACAAACAAAATATTTTAAATGACAAACTATCTTTCCAGTCAAATTATATTTATGACACGGCAATCAACGTACTTGAGAGAGAGTCGGGAATGAATGGGGACAGCTGACTGATAACGAGAACAAAGGGAGTGACGTCACAGCGCCGACCGAACACGTTGACCGGCAGTCTAGACGCTACATTCACCCGGTCGTGACGCATCATCCTAAAGTTACCAATTAGTATTATCATCGTTCTAAATGTACCTTTTTTATATGTCTATGTTCGTGTTCGTGTGCGTGTTTGCGTGTGAATGTACTATGTGTGAATCGACGACCTTCAGATGAAGTGATTATTTTGACATCCAACTGGACGCCTGATGATGACTTCTGTATGAAGTCGAAACTAGTTGCGTGACAGAAATTGCAACTATTGGATTACTAGAAGCAGGTATTTAAACCAATTTATATATTCAACGTAATCCGGAGGCTAACATCAAAAATGGAAAAAGTTTGAATGGCCAAGATAAACACAAGTGCTATGTAATTAAATTGTCATTGCCGTTGACAAATAAGTCATAAAAACTATTGGTTACGGATTGAATTCCTCTGTTGTACAGGGTCCCCTGGGAGGCAAGGAGGTATGCAAGTCTTGTATAGTTGGATATTCCCAGACTTCACTTGGCCGAGCGAAGCAGCAAGAGAAGAGGCCATCCGTTCCAGACGTTACATCCCCAACAACACAATGATCCTCGATGTTGATGTATACGGTAAGCACATGACATGTATCAGACAAAACTAGCTACAAATATTAGTTTTGAGTTACTTTTTGGACACTTCATATTGATAGCTTAATCTGAACAAGTATGGGTAAAAACACGCACATACAGCGACAAAAGAGCGGAGCAGGTGGGGCTCTCCAGGGTCAGCTGTAGCGGAGCGACTGTTATCACACACATACAGTGACCCAAAATGGAGCTCGTTCATTTCCAAAATAGTAGTTCCCAAGCAATTTGCTGTACAGCAAAAACACCTTAAAAACATTTCATTTTGCATGCTTAGTGCTTATGCGTACTCAACCAGTCGAAGTGGGTGCATGAAGTGAATTAGGAAAGGGAGGTGCATGGTGAATATCATTGTTTGTTTCCAGTTTTTAAGAAGCATGAATTTTAATTTGTGCAATACATGCGTATGTGTACCTCAACCTTTGATAACATTCCATCAAAACTTAAAGCAGACTTGATGAAGCAGAAAACTAATTGGAGGAAACCAATATGTGCCAAGGAAAGGCTGGTGGTAACTATTAGGTAAGAGTTAATAATATTTTATTGAGGTGTGATTAAAATACGGTGAGGAAGAATTTATTTGTTAATATATAGTACATCCAATACAAGCTCCGTTTATTTTCATAATATCTCAATGGTATTATTGCATAGCTATTCTTTTTTTTTGTACTTTGAAAGAAATATAGGCATAAAATAATTGATTACCTTCGCACATATATATAAAATGAAATGAAATGAAAATCCTTCTTTAATGATACGAACTTAGCACCTCGTTGTCCTTTCTTACAGTTAACCTGTCACCTACGTGTCCGTTTAGCACGATAACTCAAGCAAAAATAGTGTTACCCAGTTTAACTTTAATTTAATTAAATCAATTTTTTTGTCAATTGCCATGTATATGCCTAAACCGATGTGGTTTAGTACGGTAGTCACTGTTTCAACAACAACAACAACAATTGTGGCATTTTCAAAGTATATACACCTAAAAAGTGCATAAACAATAATGCTTCACAAACACATACAAAGTGAAAATTAGTTTTAGGTGTATATATATGACCTACGTGTGATCATCATTTGCGCAACTATTTGAAAACTTACCCTTTCTTATAAATTAATTTAATGAATCGTTTTGCACATAAAACAGCCACTGGAGATTGTTATAGCATCGTAGTAAAGTAGGAGGAACTTAAGTTTATTGTTGTTTTCAGAAAGTAGATCAGGGCGGACAGTGTTTGTGACACTGCCCAGAGCTCGGCCCGGAGTGCCTGTAACGTTGGCAACAGTGACCAATCAGAAGCGCAGTGGAGCCAACTTGCTGGCTCCATTCCCTGACTGGCAGAGCCACACCGGGGACTGTGGTAGCTCTATCACCTCTGTATTCAGAACGCATGTAAGATATGATCAGTTTACCGTCTACTTGTTTCTTTTAATACCAAAAGGCCTCTAAGATTTCCATAATTTATTGAGCCGTTAAACACCTCAGGCTAAGAAAACCTCAGGTCGTTAAATCAGGCTAAGAAAATTGTTACTGGTACTTATTAAGAAAGTATTTTACATGGAACTTCTTCACTGAGTAGCAAAAGTTGTCACAAGTACCGTAAGTCTTGATTTTCTGCTGGGAAAGAAATGACCAGGAATAACTTAACCGTAAACCTTCACTTACAACTATACAAGCGTACCACTCCAAATGTGCAATTTGTATATGTAAATAATACGATATGACTACGCTAATATGATATGATTTGGATATGTAAGGGATATGCCCTATGGAAGGAAAGTTTTATTACAAAATAAGATTTGAGAAAACATCAACAAAGTTTAAATTTCGCTTACTGTCAGTGTTATACATAGTGCTATACGTTTCACCGGATACTTTCCTATTTGATTACACATATTCTTTATTATTGAGTGGAGCGAAGCAAAGCTCATTTGGGATCAACTTCAATGCAAACTTTCTAACACATAATCTCAATAACGGCTTAACATATTTTAGCCAAATTTACCAAGGTTGTTTTGTCAAATGTTTAAATGGTTTGGACGAAACAAATTACAATTTTGTATGCCTATTAATTTAAAAGTAACTCAAAGTTTTTAAATTTTAACATTGGCCTTATGGGTTGCCATGATGGTTACAAAATAACGACGTAAATGTAAACAAAACAAAGAATAGCATAGTCTATATGATAAAATCAAGCCACGACCTAAACACAGTACAAAGGAAAAAATTTTGACGATGACCACTGATCAAATAATACAGAGAAAGTCTTGAATTTACATTTAAGTCGCAATTTGAAAACGACCACTGATCGAATAGGCACAGTCATAAATAAAACGTATTCGTTTAGGTACAGTATTTCAGTATTGCGCGGTATTTCAGCGGTACACATATTCTCAGTCTCAGTGTAGAGCAGTTGTCAATTGAGTTAGCAGCGTGCCTACTGATCGATTGATAGAAGTACCGTGTACAGCGTACCGCGCCAGTGTGGGCTCCCTACCATACAGCTAGCGGTGCATCTGTCGAGACGGTATAAATAGGTACCCATACCGCAGACCGCGTATCGCGGCAGTTTGGGCTGGCCTTTATATCTATAAGTATTTTAATTATTTATTGCTTTGTTAAAAACATAAAAACCATGAAAAAAACTGGCTTTCACTGCTACAAAAGCAATCCTAGTTATTTTACAATTTTATGAAGAAAATAATCATAAGAAATCATTTCCAAATGAAAATAAAATATACATTCTCACTATTCATCATTTAGAGATAACAAGTTTTTATACAAAATAAAAAAAAATCAATGTATTCACGTTGCTGTAGTTAAATTTATACATTTATCAACTAATATATTTGTGGTTTTTTCAGGTTGACGACTGTGGCAGACTATGGGTACTGGACAGTGGCAACAACAACGTGTTTGCTGGGGCCAGTAAGATAGTCTGTCCTCCTCAAGTGTTGATTTATGACCTCAACAACAACAACAGACTTATTGGTGAGTGTTTCATCTATATAAATTTATTTTGAATGGTCAAGTCATTGATGTAGTAATTAAAAAAGAACATATCAATGAGTGATAAGGATCATTAAACGGCTTGAAAAAAATAATAATAACTAATCTAGTACGACACTTGTCCAGGGTGAAGGTGACTTGGTGGCATAAACATTAGTGCACTTATGGCGTCTATCTTTGAGGTTGTTCTTCACACGCAGGTTTGATTTCCGTACTTGTGCTACCCATATTTAACTGTATGGCTAAAAAATTGTGGGAGGGTCAACCATAGTCAAACAATGTTCGGATGAGATGGAAGTTGACAACTTTAGTGATTTTAATCACATAATGGGTTGTTTGGTACTTCCTAAGGGTCCAGGGTTGGTGAGTCTGTGGCTCAGTCAGTAATGTCACAGACTTCGGGCCCAAGGCAGCGATGTCGTGCATTCGGATCCTGTTCACTGCCGCAAACATTTTATCAGTACAGTTCACCTTCATACTGTACCAGCTCACCTCTTGCTTTGCTGTATAAGTTCCTCGCACGGGCAGTTAGTCTATGTAGACGGGCAAATGCAAGGTCAAAAGAGACCGCCAACCTCTTAAAAAAAAGGATTGCCCATAGTAATCTCTTTTCAGCAGATCTCTTTTCAACACACATGATTGTTTGCGCAGGCAAATACCACATCCCACAGAACATGGTAGCAGACAACAGTCTATTTGTCACCATCGCTGTGGACGTGAGGAGGCAAGATTGTTCAGACAGTTTTGCGTACATCGCTGACTCCATTGCTTACAAGATGATTGTGTTTGACCTCAACAAGCAGGAGTTCTGGAGGATCAACAGCGTTTTGTTCTTCCCATACCCGGACCAGTCGAGGTTCAATGTGGACGGAGTCTCGTTTGACCTTATGGGAGGAATCTTTGGACTGGCTATTGGTAAGTGTTTGATATTTATTTATTTTTTTATTCACGTTTCTATGTCAATGGTAATTTTTCTCGTTATTGTAAGGGAACAGTTAATAAATTAAACATAAAACTACCGGAGGACTGAGTCTTGCTCGGTTGTCGTTAAGTGGGTTTAATCGTTAAAAAATATCATAAACAGACACATTTTATCGTTTAGTAAGACAATACAATAACTAGGCAATTCATCACTAGGGCGTAAAGTGATTTTTTTTGGCCCGAGCTTAAGTTAAACAACCAAGGCGAAGCTGAGAATTAAATTATATCTCCCCATCACAAAGCTAATGCCAAGCAATTGATGTCCAGCTTTGTTTGTAGGCAGATTACTAGGGTAAGCCTTCAAGAGAGAATCATTGACTAAATTTTCAAATTTTTTCTGGCTTGTAATAAACTTATTGTTGATGCAAATTTGTAAACAATCTTACTAATATTATATATTATATGCTTGAGTTTTAGTTTAAACTAGCTGTGTGCCCGTTCTACGCACGGGGATCTTATAGTAGTCAGTTGAAACCTTCTTATATTAAGATTAAGAACAGCAATTAGTTTGCATATTTGTAGATATGCTGGCAAAACTATTATATATAAACCTTCGCAAATACAGTATCTGACAGTTCAAGCCAAAATAAATGCTTTGCAATTAAATGTCACCCGGATCGTGTTGGTACATATGTCCAATGATTAAACTAAAAAATGTTTTATAGATCCATGAAGCGTAGCCCTAAAGTAGGCCTATAATTGAAAGTTACTTTCCACATCGGTTAACTTAAACGTATTTCAAGTACTACCTCAACCTCACCATTTAACACTTTATTCCGGTTGACATTTTCAGTATCAAAGGTGCTCTTGTCCATTCCGTGAAACACTGAGAAATAAGGACATTAATGCGTTACCAACATACAACAAAACAACACAATACAACAATCCAACAAAGGCCACGAACTATTGATACATAAACAATATAAAGGCGTAAACAATTCATGATGGTTTGCCCAACAAATGTTTTACTCAAATAGGTTATCATTTTCTTAGCATACCGGGTAAGCTAAGATTTGGAATCCAGACTGAAAAAGCAAAACTTATACAGAGTTAAGACATCACTTAAATTGAATACGGACGGCTCTAATAAATAAGGTGCAACACCAACGATATCAAATTTGTAAACTACCGGTTCTAAGGAAAAGAACAAGTACCTACGTAAGAACCTACCTAAGAACTATAGTAAATCGGACCAATTAAATACATTAATATCTAGTCCCGAGGTTATTGATCTCTTGCTTTTGGATTTTCTCGTAAAAAGTTATAGCGTAAACTTATCGGTGTCAGTTTGAAAAAAAGCAACCTTACCCAAACAACTTTTTGTTATTTAATAGATTACACAGTCCCTAAACTTCAAACCTTCAAACTTCAACTTTGTAATATTATGTTAATATGTTAATGTATATAAAATTAAGGAATTCGATTAAGTTTTTGCCGAAAAATTGTATCATGTATATATTTTGTTTTTAGTTTTTAAGATGTTGACATGTCACCTGTTTTACCAGCTGTGCTGGGGAGGAAAATGTATTGTGACGAATAAAGAATCTGAATCTGAATCTAAACAATGATTAGTATATCTATTAACATTAGAAGGAAATGTGACGAAAATCACACAATGTTGGGTTTTTGGTCATTTGTAATTTTATTTTTTAAGTAGGTAGGCCATGTATTCTATGGAAAAGTACCGGTATCAAGGATCGTCGTTGAAAAGGTTGTTATGAATAAATATGTAGGCTTACGTACCCAAGATATGAGCTATGGGCCGGGGTAGCGGATTTCTACCCCCGGATATTTACCCCCATGAAAAAACGCCTACGTCATTTTGACGTCACGAGGGGCGGGGCTTATACACGTTCGAGAAACAGCCCGCGACTGGAAATCCACCCCCGGACATCTACCCCCAGACATCTACCCCCGGACATCTACCCCCGGAAATCTACCCCCGTGGTCAGCTCTGCCGCGTATCGGCCAATATTCATTGTGTTGTATAATTGATTTTATAAATTGCTTTACTTTCTTATATCCATTAGTAAACATGCGATATGTCGATGTCTGTTTTAACATTATCCATATTTATAATTCAATAAGTTGTAACAGTCCTTTTCAACCCGACCTACTTCACTGATTTTTACGATTGAGGTGTCTTTTAAAAGCTTAAGATCTAGCGCAGCACAAAATGGTAATTAATAAGATATTTCGATTATGGCTTCAAAAGGTTGACCCCTAAGCCTTTGATTTATTCCTAGAAGGTGCTTCCAATGGTTGACCAACTTTTACACTATACAGTAACAGTTTAAAAGTGAAATGTGAGGAGTACTCATCAGATCAATTTTTAAGTCAGGTTGTGAAAACATGAATGATCATCTGCAACTGTAAACAGGAGATGAAAAAGTTATGAAAATAATATAATATTGCGCACTTTTCACATGGTCAAGTGTTACATCGTACTGAACCATTGTTTTTACACACATTTCTTAAAGGATAAAGTGAATAAACTGTGGTGAACTTCCGGTTTATTCGATGTAGGCCTAGTAGGAATAATTGTTTAGTAAACCAAAAACTCAGTTGTAAACTGTTAAATTGAGAAAGAGGATCAATAAAAGTCAGGTGTATAATGGTAAATTTCTCATATCACCTAGTAAAGAAAAATAGTTTCTAAGATTTAAATGCGTACTAAGAAAGGATTTAAAGTATTTTCTCTTAAATACCTAAAATAAAACAATTCAGTTGTAAACTGTTATTGAGAAAGAGGATCAATAAAAAGTCAGGTGTATAATGGTAAATTTTTCATATCACCTAGTAGTAAAAAAAAATAATTTCTAAGATTTTAGATGCGTACTAAGAAAGGATTTTAAAGTATTTTCTCTTAAAGACCTAAAATAAGACAATTATTCAAATTCAAAATAATGGCCACATTCAATTTTTTAAGCATAGCCTAATATCTTTTAATATGTATATATATACGCCTAAATACCCCCATTGCAGCACATTCGCATATTCAGAGCATGTATAAAGTCTTATTGGAAAATCCTGCCTTAAAACAAAACTTGTCAACTTATGTCCATAAATAAGTGTTCAAAAGATGCATTCATAAGAATACCATATAGGAAGTGAATAAGCAGGTTTCCTGCCAGTAAAATGTTAAAATGTGGCATTTTAAGGTAGTATACAGAACAGAATTAGGTTAAACCCGTCGACACTGACGGTTACTTTCAAGGCTTATGCTAATTCATATAACTGCGATAAATAGATTGAAGTAATACAAATTTTGAGCATTTAGCTCTTTAGCTTTTTTGATGAGTAATAAGTGTAAAAGCAATAATGACTATTGCGTTAGTTACAAAATATGGTTGATCATTCAATGAATAAAATATTTCCCATACGATACGTCATAAGAGTTATAATTACAATGTTAACCGGTTTCTCTTCTTTTGGAAGAACCTTTAAATAGTATTAAAATCGTATTGGTCAATCTTTTGTGATAAACACTTCCGATCCGCGCTCATGCATGCGCCGTTAGCTGTTACTGTATGTGAAAGTTTGTCAACCATTTAAATCACTGTCTGGAAATGAATCAAATGCTTAAGGGTCTCACTTTTGAAGCCCTTTATCAACATATGGTTTTAAATACCATTTTGCGTTGAGCTGGATCTTAAGATTTAAAATTAGACCTCAATCATAAATATCAGTGAAGTAGTTCGGGTGAAAAAGGGCTCTGTTACAACTTATTTTTATTAGGAAGATAGATAATGTTAAACAAGGCAATGACATATCACATGCTTAATACTAGATATTAGAGGGTAATGATTAACCGAAGAGACGTTGATTTACATAAAACAATTAATAAAATCAATTACAACAATGAATATTGGCCGATACGTGGCAGAGCTGACCACTGGGGGTAGATTTCCGGGGGTAGATGTCTGGGGGTAGATGTCCGGGGGTAGATTTCCAGTCGCGGGCTGTTTCTCGACCATGTATAAGCCCCGCCCCTCGTGACGTCAAAATGACGTAGTCGTTTTTTCATGGGGGTAAATATCCGGGGGTAGAAATCCGGCGACCCTATGGGCCTATTGGTTGTATGGTCCAGCGATTGCATCACACGGTGAGTAGAAACAGAAAGTGACACATTGGAAAAGCGAGTTTAGCACTTCCTCTGTTAAACCTCTGTTACAATCACCCACTGCAGTTGTGATTTTTTACTTTACACTTTACACAACCGCCATTGAAGCGCCGTCAATGAGTGGAAACCTTTTTTGTAAGCTATTGGCGACGATAATTTCAGTGTCACAGCCCTATACAACACTGATTCAAGGTCTTCTTCTTTCTGGTTGTCAAAACTCAAGAAACATTTTATACTCAAAGAATTTCTGGTTCCGATTTGGACGATGTCTAGTTATTTAATTTCATTTACGGTTATACTATTAGACTATATTATTGCACTTGCGATTAATTAAATCCGTTATGTAAGAAAAACGTTTTTAATCTCACTTGGTTGGGATTTGCTTTCAAAACGTGATTCGAAATAGTTGCGGTATGTGTAAACAACATTTGTAAACATGTCATTGACAGCTAGAAAAAATAATCTTGATCCGAACAGCTGTTCGTTATTTCATAGACGATTATGTGATAAAAATTGAACGAAAATTTGACAAAAATCGCACAAAACTGCATTTTTGAACGTCCATAATTTTATTTACAAAGTAGTGAGGCTATATTTAAATCACTAAAGACACTCTCGCCAATCCAGTGAATACATTAAAATGACTTGGATCTTGATATGTACTCTGGTTTTCACGGAGAAGATTGCGTAAAATGCCATCTTGAGTGTTACAGACAAAGGGACAGACAGACAGACAGACAGAAATTGAGATAAGACTCGTTTCTGCTTCTTTAATGTATAAAACGTAAAAATAACCTAAAAGTATATAATTCTGAGCAATGTACAGACAAAACTCTAATTTTATTTATATAGATAATCTATGTTGAAGACTTGAAACTATACCTATTGTAATTATCTTAGATGTACTATGGTTGGTTCAGGAAAGCGAGCTGGTCTAGAGGCTTCAGAGCCCGAGGTCCTGGGTTCAAATCCCACAAATCACCTTTATTCTATGATTTTATCCATGTGATAATGCCGTGACCCTCTAGGCCTGAAGTAATGTGTAAAACAGTTCCAGGCTAGAACACCTAGCGTCCTAGGAGGTGAAGGTGGGGCATAAAATAAAAAAGTATTGTTGGTTTGCAGGCCCCTTGTACCGAGGCAATCGTAGACTCTACTTCCATTGTATCGACAGTGTTAAGCAGTCATGGGTGGACACTAAGGAAATCCGGAACAACAGTCTGTGGAAGAGTAATATGAATGCAAAACCTAGAGCTTTCAACCTCTTCAGTGGAACTAGGTATGGTTAAGCATTGACTTTACAAACTGATAGTAAAATTTATATCATAATTAAATACTTTTTTGTCTTATGGTATAGCTTGAATGCATTTATTGTCAACCATAAGTGACTCGCTATCCTAGCTTATAAATCCATCTTTCTCAACATAAAATAAAGTAAATGAAATTTTTCTTAGTGAAACTATCCAATTCAATCTAAAACTATTAATATACTCATATTGTGAATGTTAGTTATAATTTCTTATCCAACGAACTGGTTACCTATTCAAATATATTTAGGAGGATAACAGATCTTGGAGCACCACATTTGCTTGAATGTACAACTGTATGTTTTCCCTTATTTAAGGGCATAAACGCTACAATGTAGCTTTTGCTTCTGTATTTTGTTTTATCAGAGGCCAAGCTGGTAAAATAACAAGAAATAATAGGAGCCATTCATGCTAGTCAAGTGTTATTTAACATAAAAAAAACTATAAAATAGTCTTCAACCATAATGATGATAAATCTATGAGGGAGTATATTTTATGTAGGCTATGGATTAACTGATCGTGATAATATGTTAAAAATATGATAATAGTATCTCTAGAATATGAAATTTCCTCAACCATCTGCGGAAACCACTATTTTTCATATTACAAAATTTAAGCGTATAATTTTATACTTAGCTTCAAACTATTTTTAGTTTGTTCCATAATCTTTTTACATTACGGTAGTTGTTTGTTTACTCTGATACAGGTCTAGTCAGTCGGCAGCTGCTACTATGAACAACGAGGGAATCATGTTCTTTGGATTGCTGGGAAGCAACGAAATAGCTTGTTGGAACTCTAGAATGCAGTTTTCGAGAAGGAATATTCCCATCCTGGCCAAGGTAGTGTTTTCATATTTATTCATGAGATATAATGTTCTTCATTCATGATGTTTCCCAACAAAAAGGGAAGGTACTTATGAATACGCCTTAACACGTTCAATGCTGAATAATAAGGGCCTGAGATCTTCTATGGATGAGCCCCTATGGTGTTTAGGCCTATCTAAAAACAACCTGGACTTAACTAATATGCCAGTTCAGACTTGAAAAAAGATAAGAGTTGTTAACTGGTGGCGCAAACAGCTACCAAAACAATGTTTGTTTCCCATGTTAATCTTATGGAGAGATACAAAACTTTAAAGGGCCCCAGCACTTCACTCTCTAATTATTTACCTAAAAAAAAAGTTTCCTGCACAACTTCACGTTACGCTCTTTCCAATGACACCAAGAACATGTCAATCGGTTCAGTAGTTTCGGAGGAGTAATTGTCACAAAAAAATCCTGCTTGCGTATTAAATAAGTAATAGATACCGTAGTTATTAAAAATACTATTCCAGATATTTTCAATCACGGTTAGTAAATACCTAGGTATGTAAAGTTTTGCAACCCGTGCAATCTTTTTGGCCGCTATCGTAATGTTGGCATCACGGTAAATTTGAATTTCAATTAACCGACGTTTTGAATGACCGGTATTCGGATAATCGGCACTCTACTGTGCTTATTTAGGTAAATTAAAAAGAAATCATTGTTCTGAACTTGTGTGAAAATTTTACTGGAGTCTTCCACTCCTTGAGCCTCACAGGACAATACATTTATGATTGAGAGAATCATAAAGCCTTCACTACAACCATGCAAGCACAATACCTTTACTGGGTGTAGTGATACGTTTCTGTGGTGCACTAATGTTATGGAATAGTGTCTGCCTCTCAAGTCCTGTGTGATGCTATGTGAATACAACTGTATCTTGAGTGACTCGATACTCTTTACTGACCCCAAACACCACCCTCGCCCTAGGTCCGAATGATAATTCCAGGAACACTGAGGGTAGGGTCGGTTTATGTCCATATGTCCCTTTTGCAGAAGGACAGTCGTTCAGAGTTTTTAATCAATCTAAAAAATAAGAGTTAATGCTTTGCTAAAAGCCGACTAGTGGTCCTAGCTGAAAGAATGTGTGCTACTTCACAACTCTGAGTTCTATATACTATACAAAATTGAAATATTACAATTGTAGCGATATTTGTATAAAAAAATATAGGGATATAGTATAAGAAATATAACAATCACTCTCTTTAATTGTTTGGTATATAAAACTGATTTCCAGGATGATCGAACGCTTCAGTTCAACTCTGGGATCAAAGTGTACGGAGACAAGTTGTACGTAGCGACCAGTCGACTGCAGAACTACGTTACTCAGAGGGTTCCACAGAACGAGGAGAACTACCGAGTGTTGGTCGGCGATGTCGTCTCACTCACCCGAGGAACAAGTTGCCAAGTAGATCCTCTAAACAATCGCTTTGAGGATGAATACATGCCTGACTCTGAAAGTGTTGATTTTGACAACAACAATTTCAGCTTTGAAGATTAGGCTGTTATACCATTGAGTGTATAGTAAATAGTGAGGGAAGGAAAGACATTTAGTTTTTTGAACGTGAATAGGAGATTTATGCAAATTTTAAGCCTGAATAGGATTTGAAATCATTGGTTGAACACTGGGGACTGTAGTTAAAATAAAATGTTCACTGTAGAGTATGTGAGAGTAATACTTAGTTTAAAATTAAATTTGACATGACAATAAGACTGTAAATATAACCATTGAACTTAATGGCCCAATGGATTTAATGAATAACTTATATCAGTGAACTTTGATGGAATGATTATATATTTTATGAATGTTTAAGAATAGCTTCCGATTATCACTTTAGATGGAAACATTACATCAGATATCTACTATATGCTCATTGGTTTTGCTTTTTTCACTGCTTTTCGTCACAACTTGTAAGCACTAATTATTGCTTTAAAGCTGCTAAAATAGTTTAAAAAACTTGTGGAATCTTCTTCGCTTGCACATTGTAATTTGAGTTAGTAATTTATTGTACTTTCTGCATTTCAATGCTGAAGTTTCTGACACATGTTTTTAGATGTATAGCAGTAATATTTGTCTCAGGCATATGTTATGGGATGTGCCAATAATTTATTGTCCTTTAGAAAATTCCCATTTAATGTTTCAATTTTTAGTTAGATTTTAACCTTTGACTAATAAAATTTTTGTTCAGATTTTTATACGGTACAGAATAAGTTATTTAAGACATCCAGCATGTACTCTTAAAATAAATACTAAATATTCTTATATCTGTCATTACTCTTTTGCCTTCTCTTACGCTTTGTTTGACAATAATGATGTAAGTAAGTTCAAGTTATTGTTTTCTTGACCTAATCTAATTTAACTAGCATGCCAAAATCCCCAGCCATAGAGGGATGATCTATAAAATCTTTACATCAAGATAATGCAAATTAAGATGAAAAATGTGTGGTTTTTATAGTTAGGTGCTTTTTGTTTGCTGTTGTTTTGCTTCGCTTTTCAGCACATTGTATCATTGTTCTTATGTTAACAGTTTTTGATCCAAAATAAGGTTCATAGTTTTGACAAGTAGAAGTAGGTAGTCATTTGATAGTTCACACTTCTAAACACTTGTGGACCTGCAATTTATCTTTTTATTAATAATTTAATAACAGATTAGTACAAATTGATGCCACATAATTTAGTCAAACGTTTTCTTAAAAGAATATAACTCTTTAGTACTCATATGCTATTAACCATGGGTACTTATGATGGATACTCATTTTACGATGAAAACTTCAATATTATTGTTGAATTGTTGCGCTATAGATCTGGTCAATATTTATTCTTGTGGGGATTGGCTTTTATGTGTTTCATGTCCTAACAAACTCAAGTGTTGGAAGTAAAATAAATATATTTCAGATTTTCCCAGATTCAAGAAAGATTTAGGTATAATGTGACTTTAAAATCATAGGGAATAACATCCACATAATTATATTTTTGTACCGAAGATAGCAGACCAAACATCTTTATTTAGAAACTCAACTTACATGGCATCAACATTAATGATTTTGTTTCCCTCTTCATTTACCACCTTTACTTTTATTGCCTGTAAAGGTAGAAATCCCGCTATTTATGAATTCTGAACTATAAGTTTTTTTCTTGAAGAATGTTGTTGATTAATCTATTGTAGATTTCTTTAATATTGTATTTAATGTTCTAACAATATTTTTAATCTGAGAGGCACAATGTTTACATACATTGTAATTTTATTAAATTGATTTGAAAGGTTTATGATGAGGAAGCCATTTTATTAAACATAAAAATATTTTGCTGAGCTTGATTAGATTATAACAGTTACAAATTCTTGTTAAAAGTGTAAAAAACAGACGTTTTCAAATAGCAATACTGTAGTATATTTTTCCTCCTATCCTTGAATTTGAAGATTAAAAAAACTACATGGGACAAGCAAAGACTGAAACGATCTATTTTCCTTGTTTAGGGGGCACTTGAATCGGACTTGGTATTTCCAGATGAAGGGGTTTGGAGTGAAAGTGAAAATGAAATTCCCACCCAATTATTTGACTCTGCCATCACAAGCCAAAAGGAAGATAATGAAGATCAAGAGGCTTGGATTATCTTTGAAGATTCAATTTGATATGTGATATGAGTTAGTTATAATAATAATTCCAATATGGTGCACACAGCTTTATAGGAGTAAAATAATTAAATCTCTTTTTTTGTTTTATAAACTTGCACTATTATTACCATTTTTATTTTTATACTTAACTAAGGGAAAACCCGTGTTGGCTACGGATGCTTTCAAATTGGTTGAAAATTTTAATACATTAGTGTTTAAGCGTTTAAATACCAGATTATGATAAAATAAAACACATTAAATAAACAATAAATTATTTTAATTTTTGTATTTCATTTTACGATAATAGTTAAAACTGCTGTTAACAGTTTGTTCAATAATCGTACTATTTTTGATTATTTACAGAATTTCTTTGTATACAACATTTTTTGTTTTCTCAGAAGGTGCTAGCATCACCAGACTCGTGGCTGAGCTGACCCGTGAATATGCAACATAAAATTCTCCATGAGAAAAACAATCTTCTCTCAAGTCTAGTCCTGCGATCTTAAGTGACTGTCCCTGCACTTTGTTGATGGTGAGGGTGAAGCACACAAAGGGAATTGCAACCTTTAAACGGGTATTCCATAGGAACCAGGGGAAGTCGTGGTATAAAAACCGATTCCCCTTGGGCACATCCGGTGATCACTATTGATCATCCCACATCAATTACATTTTTGTGAAGATAAACGTCAAAGTGCCCGCTAGACAGGGATCGTGTAAATCTGAGTCTTTTCAATGGATTACGTTCATCACCAAACTTGACATACAATTCACCATTTCGATGAACCTCAAAATCAAATATGTGAATAGTTGTCAACCAGCTCACACAACCCACCGAAGGTAAACCGGCTTATACACTTCATTGAAGTATTCTCTTGAATTAAGTTAATTATCCCCGTCACTGTTGTGAGATAAGACTGAGAAGTAGACCCAGTTTCTCACAACATGTTCAACGCGCACATTAGTGAATCTATGTGTGTAAGGTAAATTAAGAATAAACACGCACCATCTCCTGTGATGTGAATGATATTGTGTGGAACGAACCCGCCATTTGCATTTAAAACCTCAGTGTCCGTACTATGAGACGGTTTAAACAACTACAAAAATATTAACAGAACAATATCTTAAATTCAAAAATTCAAATGCAATAAAAACTAAGTTCAATTCTACTTTCTTCAACACTAATCACACATTTATTAGAAATTGATAAAACTAAAATAGTCCAGGCATATTAGGAATAAAAGTAGCAGTTAGAGGAAAGTTTAGGTACAGTCCTAATCACCACTTTACTTTATGTTTTTTGGGTCGCTGAACACGAATATGAGGTTTGCTGACAGATATTATGCCCGGAACATTGTTTATTTTGTCAAAAACCTGAAAATTTGGGCAATTTTTTAGGTTTTTGGGATAAATCTCGGTAATTATGGGTTTTTGAGAAGACCTTGCTTTGTACAATTAAAGAGGACAAAATTTACCACAAGTTTCGTATATAATATTTGTTTCTACGATGAACTGTTACGCCACTAGAGCACACTAAAAAAGGCCAGAAGTACCAAAAATGAAAAGAAACGCTAAATGCTGCCAATTTACATTAGGTTTCCATGGAAACAACCCATGTTACGATAATTTTGTATTTAGTCATGATAATAAACTGTAACACACTTGAAAAGAAACAAACTAGTGTGTCCACTGACCACAAGCCTCCACCTGAAAGAAATATCTGCCTTTTAAGATCAAATCTGGGAAAATGGTGACAATCTTTTTTTTAAATAATGGTAATAACCTCATGAATAGAAATAGGTTGGTTGGCAGGATCATGCAATTCACTCTCTTCGGGTTTCATACATCCTTTTTTTGGTGGGCCTAAGAGGAGAAAAAAGCATCTTCATCTTTCCACATTCTCATTTGCTTCTAAGGCTTCCTCAAGGGTAAGAAACTGAGGACCAAGTTTATCTTAGAATATTCTCAGCTACAGTTTTGTTCTTTACAGCAAGGAGTGGAGAGTATGTTGTTGATTAAGTTTTTCCCTTTCCTGGGTTCAAGAAGAAAACTTTTTCCTTACACAAACTGATTAGAATAATCAATAAGTCAACATCCTCTCCAACAACGACAACGTTGTCATTAGTGCTAGCCAACGACAGCGCTTCTGTCACTATCAATGTGTCCCCATCTTCATATGTTGTTTCCAAGATTGTTGTATTGTAAGAGATGATCTTACTTGTTATCATGGAAATTAGTCTTTCCTTGTTATTAGGGTTGGCTAGGAGATTTTTTCTTTCGTTGTGGTTGGGATCATAGTTTCATCAAAGAGAATGTCTGCAGAAGTAGTTTTTATTGCTTTTTTCAGTCGTTTGGAACTTTTTGTTCCACCCTGCTGGTGTTCAGGGTAGCCGTCAAAACCAACTTGTCTGATCCCTATATTTGGTTATAATGTTGTCCATGTACTGTTAGGCCTATATTTTTTATGCAAAGGTTGATGCTCTGGCCATACACTTTTATGTAGTAGGGACCCACCATCAATAACATACTGCACACTCCCATGGAAGTGCTTGTTTTCAATGGAGACAAGTGCTTTAGGCCTATAAAGATTTGATTTGGTTCTTTTGCACAAACCATTATTATCAAACAACGAGAAAGAGTATGGACCCAGGTCGTAGGACAGGAAGTGTTCTAGTTCTTCATCAGAATTCTTAGCGACGCTGATATGTTAAAACAATGTGGTGGGGTTTACGGGTAAGAATTCTCTACTTTTATCGCGTTGTTCATTATGACAAGTGGCTGGACTCGGTCTGCTTGTCTAACGTTACCAAAGTTAAAGTTATTCTACTTTACGTTCTTGAAGTTACTCTTTCATTGTCTTTCATCCTTTTTTCTCAAGCACTATAGCAGTCAACCCTGTGGTCAGCAACAACCCCTGTGCTGAGAGAAAATTAATGGGGGTTATGTGGGAACCGGAAATGTTCCTGCAGCCGATACATCTTGGCGCAGATTTATCAAGTGTGTTTCAGTTCATTATCATGAAAAAATAGTTAAAATTATGATCGTAACATGGGTTGTTTCCATGGAAACCTAATGTAAAACGGTTAGCGTTTCTTTTCATTTTTGGTACTTCTGGCCTTTTTTAATAACACGTTTTTTAATATAGTGAGATAAATATTAAGTTTACAACAAAAGTGTAAATACAAGAAAGATAGGGTGTAAAAATATCTTTCAAACAAAAAGTAACGATTAAGTAAACGAGTTATTTACTTATTTCGTCCGAAAAGTGCTAGGCTTGCCACGGGGGTGAAGTCTAGTGTGCGAGAAAAAAATCAGTAAAAGTAAAATTTTTCATCTGAAAAGTGCTAAGGAACGATATATCAGGCCTCGATCATATAAGGAATTGAAAGAAACCATCGCTGTTTCGAAACTACAACCGAGTCAACCGATATGCTCATTTAAACCCACATTATATCGTCACTTAGCGCTTTTTGGATGAAACATGAACAAAGATATATCGTTCCATATCACTTATCGGGAAAAAGACTCACAATGATATATTGTTGCATAGCACTGAAAGGGTTAATAGTGCAGGAAAAAAGTGTAAAATTTAGCCTGATAGTGGAATT